CAACAATTCAACTTCGATGAAAAAGGTATTCACTTGCACCACAAATTTTATGATTTGCGACTGGTGCAGCGGCAAAATAAACCGGTTACTGGAGGGTTGTCACAGCAATTCCTAAAACTCAGATCGGCTCGGCCATACAATATTCACCCATTCCTGGGTTAAGATCCAGGTTGCGAAAACCGCAGTTCCGGCCCATCTGCTAGGCAAGATTCCATTCCCGCATTCTGCATTGCTAGCTTCTTCTCGGCATCAAGGTTCAGGATGAAAAACTCATAGCAGCACCCTCCACCATAAACCCCGCTCCCCGTTTACAACTCTATCTTCAGGCAGGGTCTCATTTTCTTTGCTGTTAACAACCTCATCTCCTCCCTTTCGCTACGACCCCCGCGGCCCAAAGCACCACCATCGTCCCTTATCCCCTTCTCACCCGCAGCCCTTATCCCCTACCCCTCAGTTACTGCAATCTGCCTTTCGATCTGGCTGGCCCGAACCGAGCTTTAATAGTTCCTGTCGTCAATAGTTCAACTGCTTAAATAGTACTTGAGAAAACAGTCCCCAGTATACCACTGTCAATTTAAAGCTAAGGAATTAACTGGAGAAGTATATTACTGTGGGTGGTGGCAACAACAGTAAAGGCAGTAATATTGCAGGCCCATTCATCAGCCTGCTACCCTGTAAATAGGACTTTAAATACCCGGAAATTTATCAGACAAGCCAATTAGCATGGGTGGTGGCGACTCATCATTATTTTCTTCGTGTTGCTCACTTCCACTTTCCGAAGGCAATACATTTGGATGTGGCAAAATTGCACTTTGTGCTGGAACACTCCATACATCACCAACTGTATCCGCAGCTGTTGCAGCACCTGACCCGAATGCTTCAGTATCGGGAGCCTGGGCAAGCAATGAAGCACGTGGAATTTCCAGAACCACTTGTGAAACTTCCTGATGCTGGCTATCACACTGCGCGTGCAAACTGCGTAGGTAAGCTACGCTTAAAACCATGCTTTGTGTTTCTGTATCCATATCAGCAAAATCTCTACCTGAAAAAAAAAACCCTTTAAAAATTTAAAACAAATTTTTTAATAAATTTGATGCTTACAGTCCCCAAATTTGTTCGGAATTTAGGGGCAAAGCATAAGACTTTACAATACACTGAACAAAGTAATAAATATAAAAGTTTATAGACCAGTTCCAAAGCCTGGGAATGATAAAGCTACACACTAGCACCATGGATATCCGCCTCACCAAATCTTTAGAGGAACAGCAACAGAGAGATCAAGCCCCAAAGTTTGAGGATCTGTTCTCAGAGCGATTTAACGAATAAATTAGAAAAAAAAATTC